ATCGGGTTCCGAAATATATTGGTTAGAAAGTATACCAATTTACTCATTAATTAACAAAACAATTTTTGTTAAATCACTTTCGGTTTTACTGGAAATGACCCCAACTTTTGATTTTAAAATGGGACACCCTGTATTTTATTCCATAACCCAGATAGCACAATGTCATTCGTTGAACGTATTGAAGGAGAAGAAAGAAAATTTTCAAATCGAAATATCCCGAAAACGGTACACAGTATCAAGTTTTACCAAGAGCACCTTTTTAGTGTAAAATTGAATGATGTTCAAGTTCACATCGAATTTGGACTGAAAAATCTAACCTCAAAAAAGTTATGTCTAAAAGTGCTCGGTACGAACCGTGTGACTAGCGTCCTCTATAAGCGTCAGATATAAAAACAAATTCATGCGATGTGTTAGCTTTCAAAACACATCCATACAAAATTTCATTACAATGTTGCCAGTACTTTCAACATAATCGTAAAAAATGTGTAAAAAAATAATTTTTCAACACCTTGTATCTTGAAAACGGATGGCGTTACGACATTTTCTTAATAAGCAAACCCAACTTATTTTGCAATGTTTTAACCACCCTAGCAAGGGGGTTAGGTTTTTTGAAACACCCTGTATATTTAAAGAGGGCTGAATGGGATAGGTCCATCCTTATTCATTATTCTATTACCTACTATTCTTGAATATCTCTAAGCTTTCATATGCATCTAATTACCTAACATTATCAACTTGCTTAACAAATTTGAGGTTATATTAATATATACATGTGTTCGGCTACACACGATTTATCTAACCTACCATATTTCAAATGTGCTGAAAGTTTTCTTTAAACCTTGTTTTTATGGGACGCCTGGTTTCGCCTATATATGTTTTATCACAATCATTATAACTAATTTCGTATATTTCTGACTTTTCAAGTGTGTCTACCTTATCTTTTGAATCACACATAATAAATTGCCTAATTTTGATCGTAACCGATAAACGCTCTCTCAAAACCTAAGTCTTTGAAAACCTTATCAAGGCCTCTCGTGAACTTGGGATTGAACGGGATTGGGATTCTTCTCGAATTGTTTTTATATAGAGACCTGCAGAACATCTCTTTCCAAAGACTCGTTCATCCAACGAACAGCGAGGCTCTGTAACACTACATTACCACAGAAATTTAAGAAGACCACCATAATTCCTACCTTATTTCCCTTGGTTCTCACGATGTTCTCTGAACATTACAGGATATCCCTTTTCGTGGAAAGCAGAATATAAAAAAAAATATCCGCTTGAAAAGTCGTAGATTCCCGAAGTGTTAACTCATGTTAACTTAAAATGTCTACGTATTAATTTATCTTCTATTTTGATATCATAACCATTTACGCCAGCCGCTTCATAAACAACACTCCTTTCAACATCGAATCTTTGTTTGCTCAGAGGAAATGAAACTAGTCTAATGTTTCAAATAATGGTAATTGACCGTTATTTTCGCATTCAAAAGTGAATTTGATAGAGGGGAAGCTATTATTCAATTGTGAAATAAACTTATCTATACAGGGTGGGCCACCAGTAACGCCTCGGTCTCTAGAAGGCTAACCACTCATCTTCTTGGAATTCTTCCTCTCTAGGAAGTTGCATGTCAACATAGGCTACCATTTGAAATTATTTTGAAACATACAGAGGATGTCCCCAAAAATCACAAAACACTGAAGTTGAACTTTTTTCAATCGAACACCCTATATATTATTTCATTTTGAGATTCTCTCTGGTGAGCTGATTTCAACAATCCATCATACTTGGGGGTCTAGCAGTTATAATTACTGAGATATATATAGGGTGTGAGAAATCGAGATTTTCCAAGTTCAAGAATTTTTTGTGTCTAAACCATTCATAATTGGTCAAAACGGCTCACATGTCCCTATCTCAACTTTTGATCAACTATCTACTGACTTTTAATTGAAACAAATACAGGGTGGTGCAGAATTCAGAATTTTGATCACCCGGTATATGTCCCAATTAAATATCAGTAGATAGTTAATCAAAAGTTGAGATAGGGACATGTAAGCCGTTTTGACCAATTATGAATAGTTTCGACACAAAAAATTCTTGAACTTGGAAAATCTCGATTTTTCACACCCTATATTTCAGTAATTATAACTGCTAGACCCCAAGTATGATGGGTCGTTGAAATCAGCTCATCAGGGAGAATCTCAAAATGAAATAATATATAGGGTGTTCGATAGAAAAAAGTTCAACTTCAGTGTTTTGTGATTTTTGGGGACATCCTGTATGTTTCAAAATAATTTCAAATGGTAGCCTATGTTGACATGCAACTTCCTAGAGAGGAAGAATTTCAAGAAGATGAGTGGTTAGCCTTCTAGAGACCGAGAGGCGTTACTGGTGGCCCACCCTGTATATCTGTGATTTTCGTATCAAATTTTTGTTGCCCATTTTGCCATGTACACGAGAGGACTTATTGATAAGGTTTTCAAAGACTTAGGTTTTGAGAGCGTTTATCAGTCCGGATAAAAATTCAGGCAATTTATTATTTATCCAAAAGATAAGGTGGGTACAATTGAAAGGTCAGGAATATATGAAATTACTTGTGATGATTTGTGATGAAACATATATAGGCCAAACCAGGCGTCCCATAAAAACAATATTCAAAGAACACTTCTAGCACATCTGAAATATGGTAGGTTAGATAAATCGTGTGTAGCCGAACACATGTTCAATCACAATCATAACACACATATCATCAATAACCCCAAATCAGTTAAGCAAGTTAATGATGTTAAGAAATTAGATGCATATGAAAGCTCAAAGATATTCAAGAATAGTAATAGAATAATAAATGACCCTAACAACACGGGGATGTCTTAGGTACGTCCCTTTTTTGTCCCGTGGTACAAGGACATGATTGGGGCATCCAGGATCCAGGGGATGTCCCGCAGTGGTTGTCCAGTGGACATCCCGCCCGGTACATCCCTAGGTTATCCTATTCGTGTCCCTGGAATATCTGATATCCTTTCACATCAGAGTCATTGAATTTCATCATAGTATTAAGTTGCATTTTTCTGAAAATGTTTGTTTTTCTTCCGGAAAATAAATGCAATGAAAATAAAGAATAAAGTTTCAGAACTTCTTAAGAAATGGCCATTTTTGCAAACAGAAATAGTACATGCATAATGCCCCCCATTTTTAAACACCCAAGAATGATAATGATTATACCCAAATCCTAACAAAGTTGTATTTATTCAGGTTTCTGTAGTTTAGTCCTGTTTATAAATCTGTTTAGTACATAAATCTTCAGAAGGCTCAATATAGCCAATGGAGTAAGGTGCGTGCCTGATGAGCCAAAGGTCCCGGGTTGAATCCCTACTCGACCTACATTTTTTTTATTTTGTCGAAGGGATGTCCCTGGGATATCCTTGGGACGTCCTTCGTACTTGGTATATCCCAGGGACCTACCAGGACATCCCTTGGATGCCTTTTTTGGCGGCCAGCGGATGTCCCTGGGACATCCCTAGTATGTACGTTGTCCCGACAAAGGACATCCCTGGGATGTCCTAGTATAAAATCTGGGAAGTCCCTATATATAGGATATACTGGTGTTGTTAGGGGAGGATAATGGACCTATCCCAGTCAGCCCTCTGTATAGTTTTGTGATATAAGACCAAGGTTAACATTTGAAATCAACCATGACTAACATTAACTTGGCAGTTAGTGTCTTCCACGGTTGAACGGACATACAGGGTGTAAATTTGAAAACTTCCAATGCGAATATCTCGCAAAAGAAAAAAGTTAGAAAAACGCCGTTTGGCAAAAATGCTAAAGAGTTAAGGGGAACTAGAACCACCATATTTCGGTCAAGGGATGAGTCACCCCGTCGGCGCGACACACCCCAACTTTGAAATGTCATATGGCACTACCTTTTTTGTGATACCTCAAATGAACAGTCTCAGTCAGTAGTATTCACCTGTACAAGACTTTTTTTCCACCCACTAAAGGGTGTACGAAAAATATAAAGTCGAATATAATAAAATGAATTGTGTTAAAAGGATATTTTATTTGATCAGATGTTCAAAATGCATTCCATTCTGTTGAAAGCAATAGTATAATCGATGTTCAAATGCCATTCTAACATTTTGGAACACATCTCTGGGAATATATCGGCATTCTGAATTTTATTTTATTCGATTTCATGTTTTTCGTTCACCCTGTAGTGGGTGGAAAATAAGTCTTGTACAGGTGAATACTACTGACTGAAACCGTTCATTTGAGGTATCACAAAAGAGGTAGTGCCATTTGACATTTCAAAGATGGAGTGTGTCGCGCCGACGGGGTGACTCATCCCTTTACTGAAGTATGGTGATTCTAGTTCCCCCTAACTCTGTAGCATTTGTGCCAAACTGCGTTTTCCTAACTGTTTTATTTAGCGAGATATTCGCATTGAGAGTTTTCAAATTTAGACCCTCGAATTAATGTTTTTCGAACACCCTGTAGTGGGTGGAAAAAAAGTCTTGCACAGGTGAATACTACTGACTGAGACCGTTCATTTGAGGTATCACAAAACAGGTAGTGCCATTCGACATTTCAAAGTTGGGGTGTGTTGCGCTGACAGGGTGACTCATCCCTTCACTGAAATATGGTCGTTCTAGTTCCCCTTAACTCTTTAGCATTTTTGCCAAGCGGCGTTTTTCTAACTTTTTTATTTCGCGAGATATTCGCATTGAAAGTTTTCAAATTTACACCCTGTATATACCTAGTATATAAGTAGCACACTGGGATAGAACATTCAGTTCCAGTTTTCGAAATATTAATACACTCGTACATTATATTCTGAAAATATATTTTCAAAATGTAATTGCAACAACTTCCAGTGGAGGCATATAAATATGAATCATCTATCTATAAATAAAACTTTGAAACCTCATGAATCACTAAAATGCACTATGCAAATCATTTGAAATAGCAGGTATTCATTTATTCTACGAATAATCTTCGATTCAATTCAATTCATCTTCATCTGTTAGCGATATGACGCTGCCAAAAATTTCAGGCCTCTTCATCATGGATGGGTTAGCTACTGAGAATCGCCTCTGCATCAGATCCTTGTTCGCTTCATGAGTATCCGAACCGTATCTGTAAACAATAAAGACATTTTAATATTGTGTGATTTGGAATACCGTAGAATGGGGTGACTTGAAATCGTGTGGTGACTTGAAATATAATGCAGTGAAAATTTTGAAGTAGTGGCAACGTCGCATGTCAACGGAAGAAGCTAAACTAGTCTTTCAGTCTAATGATTTTTTGTTTATTTTTGTAGTTTTTTATCTTTTTTGTATTTTGCTAAAAAATATTTGTTCTAAAACACAGTGTTTTTTTATGAAATTGATGATTTCTATATATTTTTTATTTAATTTTCATTTCATGTCACCACCTAGACCATCCTACTTGAAATAATCGTTGATAAGAAGTCATATTTCAAGTCACCCCATATTGGGGTGACTTGAAATATGACGTTTGACATTTTTTTTTTTTCGAAAACTACACTATATAGAAACGGTTTTAATGTATCGTTCTGTTCTTTAGGGTCGAAAGAGTTGGTGACTATTTTTAGTTTGGTTGAAAGTTGCATGGTAAGGTCGCAATCTATGGAAGTGTGTCAAAAATCTTATCAAGTCACCCCATTCTACGGTACTAGATATTTGAGAGTCTATAGGGCGTATTACAGAAATCGAAATCGTGTGAACATCAAATATAGGTACCTATTTCAGTTGATCATTCAGATCCTTGATTTTCACTCGATTACTATAATAGACAACTCCAAAACAAAAATAATTGATGCCTGGACGGCAAATTTAGTAATAATTATTAGTGATATCAATTTGATCGCTCAGAATTTCAGTTGCGCCGAAGAGGATATTGATATATTTTTTACCAAACGTCAAGTGTAACTAGCAAGAAAATTCCCTTTTTACGCCGGTGGGAATTATGACAAAACACTTTGACCAAATTTTTATTCTTATTTAATTTCTGTGTTTCCGCCAGCGTAAAAAATAGTATATACACCTCAGGAGAGAATGATAATTTTCCCTCGGTGCTTTGTATCTCTCGGGCTTCGCCCTCGAGCTACAAATCGCACCTTCTTGCATTTCTGTCCCTTGATGTATAATGTACTATATTCTATTGACGAATCAATTCATGCATAAAAAATCTCATAAGCAGCTGTGATTTTGTCATTTTGACAGCGCAAAAACCCTGAGTTTTTCAGCGACAAAACGAAACCTAACATATGAAACCATCACAACCAGAATTGTGAACGAATCTTTGATGGCGTTTATGTCATTTTTACTCAAACTTGCGTTGTCTGAAAAGTATCTAATCTGTGGAACGATTTGAGTGTAGAAATTGGAAAATTCATCAACAATATTGTGATTTACGCATTCATTAAATTGTCTTACCAAATTACACTCTAGCATTTTTTTTTGATCGAAGTAAACTTAAGTTGTTGCCTTTATTAGGACATTAAACTCAAAGAACTTTCAGAAAAAATTACTCGTTCTAATTTATTTCTTATAATTTCCAGGTAACAAAATTTTCGTTGTAATGTCAAGTTTACTTCGACAAAAAAAATCTGTATTCATCAGTATCAACTGCAAAAAGATTCTTTTATTAAATCTCAGTTTGAAAGTTGAAAGTTTGAATAAAAAAAATCATGTATAACTTTCAAACGGTTGCCATGTTAGGTACCAATGATATTTGTGCAACTGAATTATCTCATACTAATGCTCATTTCGATGTAAACGGCTGTTCAGTGATTATGTTCCATGCAGGATGTTATGATTTTTTTTCCGTTTGATGGATACATTTTTGACAGAGGTGGCAAATGTGACATTTTGCTTTCACCGCTTTCCTTCATCTGTTCTCAACAGAAATAGTATACTTTAATTCAATCAATATCTTACCGTACCGTTCTAGAGAAAATTGCATTTTAAAAACATACATCCCAATCGTTTCAAAGGTAATAAAAACTCTATTCATTAAATAACATCATGATAGTTTCAGTCATTGTCATAATGGACATCACATTATTTTGACAGTATTAAATACTTTGGTAACACCATCATATGGCATCAGAATCACGCCAGACGCTACCGCTACTCTATACCGACCGATCTGACCTTCTGCCTCCCCTCCACGTGGCTGAAAAATCAATAGTCTTACGTCCATCTCTGAACGTACAATGTACGTTCATTCAACGTTCATAAACCTTCAGATTTAAAATGATTTCATATAGACATTTACTTTGAACAATTATTTATATACATATAAATATAATGTTCATTCTTCATCCATGAACACTTGAACTTAGAATGGCTGTTAAATGGACATCCAATGTAAGAATACTTTTTATCATCCAATGTACGTCCGTCTCTGTACGTACAATGGATGTTGATCAAACGTCCACGAGATTTTTAGTCCTTGAGTTGACATAAAATGGATGTCCAACGGACGATAATTTTGAAACATACATTGTACATCCACCTTCATAAGTACAATGAATGTACATTCTACGTACATGCGTGCTTGGACATTGAATGGACGCCCACTGTACATACTGTAGCAGTTATAAGCGTGTTCTCTTAACAATATTTATTTATTCCAACTAAATGATAACTGCAACTTTGACAATATCAAAAATTATTTGACATTATTTCATTCATTCTATCTGACATCCAACTTGCACATACTGGGGGTCAGCTACTGCCGGTCAGCTACCGCCACATACTCCCTCCCCAGTGACAACGTCCTGAGATTTTGTGAGAAATTCCACGTTTCTGGTAGACTTCGTTTTCGCGAATTCAGTTTGATTGATCAGTTTTTGATTTTGGCTCAAAAGAGTTTCATTTTCTTCATTCAGGATGAATGCAGGTTTCACTCTATCTATAGAGATGGTCTTTCTTCCTTTACTGGTTTCAATGTCAAAAAATTTATCAGATCTGCTAATAACTGGGAATGGGCCATCATAAACAGGTTGCAATGGTCTTCGATGTGCATCGTGACGTATGAACACATGACTCGTAGTCTTAAGTCCTGGGTGAATGAATGCCTTCCTTACAGAATGATGTCCAACCATAACAGGTTTTATCTGTGCCATATGTTCTTTCAAATTAAAAACTAAATTTGGAATATTTGAATCATATTTGGTTTCTTGAAAGAAATCTATTGGAAGCCTTATTCCTTCTCCATATAATATTTCAGCAGCTGTTGTATTATATTCTGGAATCAAATAAGATCGTAAGCCTAATAGTATAACAGGTAACTTTTCGGACCATTTTTCGGATAATTGAGCTCTCAAAGCAGTTTTCAAGCATCGGTGCCAACGTTCTATTTTTCCATTCGAAGCTGGATGATATGCTGTCGTTTTGATGTGATGAATTCCAAGATATTTTGTCAAAGACTCGAACAACTTGCATTCGAATTGTCTTCCTCTATCTGTTGTTATAATGTTAGGAATTCCAAAACGAGCTATCCACGAAGACATTATAGCTCTAGCCACTGTTTCTGCCGAAATATCCTGGACAGGTACAGCTTCTGGCCAACGTGAAAATCTGTCAATCATCGTGACGAGATATGTGAAATTTTGGGATGATGGAAGAGGTCCTACTATGTCGATGTTAATATGAGCAAATCTTTTTTCTACCGTATTATACACACCAACAGGTGAGACATTGTGTTTCCAAATCTTTGACCTCTGACATGGAATACAACTTTTGGCCCAAATTCTACAATCTCGATTGATAGACGGCCATATGAAATGTTTTTTTACCATGTTCAAAGATGTTTTGATTCCGGGATGTGCCAAATTATGTATCGTCTCGAAAATGATTTTTCTGTATTTCTTGGTTACGAATGGTCTCAGCTGCTCATTCGAATAATCACAAATTAATTCCTCACCACTCGGAAGTACAATGGAATGAAATTTAAGTGAACAAGATTTGGACTGCTTCAGCTGATTGAGTTCCTCGTCATTTACTTGAGATCTAGCAATTTCATCCAGAGTAACTTGTAACGGAACATTTACTGAAGATATTCTTGAGCATACATCAGCTGGAATGTTTTCTCTTCCTGCTATGTATTCAATAGAAGAAGTGAATTGTCCAATATAGTCCAAGTATCGTAATTGTCTCGGCGAGGCTTTGTCTGAACGTTGTTTGAAAGCAAAAGTGAGGGGTTTATGATCTGTGAAAATCGTAAAATCTCTTCCTTCCACCATAAAACGAAATTTTTTCACTGCTGAATAAGCTGCTAGAAGTTCTCTGTCGTAGGTACTATATTTCCTCTGAGCCTTATCTAGTTTTTTTGAGAAGAATCCTAGAGGTTCTAGTATGTTATCCCTGACCTGATGTAGTGCAGCACCAATTGCAAAGTCAGAAGCATCGACTGTTAAAACTAGCGGAAGAGTGCAAGAAGGATGGACTAGAAGTGTAGCATCAGCTAAGTCCTTCTTCAATTTCTCAAATGCTTTGATACTCTCATCATTCCAAGCTACTTTTCTTTTATCTCTCTTTTTACAATTTTTCGAGAGGTCGAATAAAACTGCCTGAGTTTCCGCAGAATTGGGTAGTGAACGCCTATAGAAATTGATGATACCAAGGAAACGTCGAAGCTCTTGAATGGAAGCAGGCAACGGAAAATCGGTAACAGTTCTGACACGTTCAGCTAATGGTTTGATGCCTTGCGCATTCAAGACATAACCCAAAAATGAAACTTCTGGAACTCCTAAGGTACACTTCGCCAAGTTGATGTTGATGTTGAAGTCACTCAATCTCCTGAATAACAGCTTCAGATGTTGGATATGTTCTTCTTCACTTGATGATGCAATCAAAATATCATCAATATAGGCGAAAGCGAATGAAAAATCTCTCAATACTGAATGGATAAATCTCTGGAAGGATTGAGCTGCATTACGTAAGCCGAAAGGTAATTTTAGGAATTCAAAAAGACCAAATGGTGTAACTACTGCCGTCTTGGGAATATCTTCTGTTTCTACTCTGATGTGATGATAAGCCCTTACCAGATCAATCTTCGAAAATATTATTTTCCCATCTAGTTCACTATTGAAGTCGTGAATATGA